TGATTGAATTAACTTTTAAAAATCATTCTACTTATCAAAGTTTTTCTTACCTAATACTTGAGTTTCATTCATTGTCATTTATTAAAGTGTTAGCATATTTCTCCCTTAGTACTTAATTTGATCATATCATTTATTAAGAGAGAAATTTTAAATTGTAAAATCAATTTCCTTTAAATTTGTTGGTAGTGTTGAAGTCTCGTAAAGCTCAATATTATATAAAGATCGGTGCTTTTTATTTGTAAGTTATTGAAAGCGTTATAAATGGTTGGATTGCATAATAAGTCAATCAATATAGTGAAAAAGACATTGCTCGTGTAAGAGAGTTTGGTAATGGAAAACGTAGATCATTGCTTTTGATCAAGCATTCATAATTATATCGTTTGCATCATCTTTCCTCTTGTTCTTATCCCTTTTATATTTGTACTTANTTTGAATTTATCTATTTAGTCTTTATTTACTTAAATTTAAATTAATTTTTTGAAAAATTTTTAATAACCAATTTATACTTCTCTTATTTAGTCATTCTAGAGGTGTCAATTCGGGTGATCCAGGCCGGTTTGGCCTGCCAACATATAAGCCCGATAACGGTCCATGTGAAATCAAGCCAATCCACTACGGGTTCCGAGCCGGCCGACAAATTTTGGACTACAACCCAGACCCGTCCCCTGACCCATTCGGGTCGAGCCCATGCGGGTCACGGGTCGCGATTTTTTCGATTTGACCTGTGTGATTGTATAAATAAAATTATAAAAATATAGAATTTTTCATATTTATAGCAAAACATATTTTTTTTGTTAAATGTAAACTAAGAATTGAACAAAATGATAAATTCATATTTATACGAAGAAATGTTTACATAGAATTCAAATTTAACGTTACATAAATTATTTATAACTTTGCAAAATTAAATTTAATTTAAANAACTAAATACATTTTTAATTACTATTATCAAATATTTATAGTATAAGCACATCCCAACTAGGTTGGCACCTACTTGTTTTCAAAAATTTTTAATTTTTTTTCACGGGCCAACGGGTTAAACCCGACCCTTGAAGGTGTAACCCGCGAAGCTTGCGGGTAACACCTCCTTGACCCGTGAACCGCCCGCTCGGGTCACGGGTCGGCCCACGGTCCCGGGTCGTTCCGGGCCGACTTTCACGGGTTTGACCGGCCCGTCTGTCTTGACATCTCTAAGTCATTATTAGGTTATCACCATATTGGATGGGATTCTTCTTGCCATACGACTTGGGATCTCAGATATTTAGGTTGAGGCTATGTCTGTCAATGAATTTGATTTTGATCCGAATCCGATGAAATTAATGGAAGATGGATTCAGGGTCTTAGTCCGATAACCCGATTAATTTCTGAATCCGACAATCCGTTAACGAAATAGATCAAATATGGATATAAATTAATCCGATCCGATAATAATCCGATCTGATTTGTTGTAAATAATTGAGTCGGTAAAATATTTTTATGACATGTTATTTGTGACTAAAATAAATAAATGAGAAAATAAATAAATTGAGAATAAAAAAGTCATCAAATTCAAAACATAAAAAAATGAAAAATTTATAATTATTAAACTCGTTTAAGAATTGGTAAAATTGGAAGAAAAAAAAGAGTTCATTCCAACATTATTTTTTTTCCTAATTTCTTTAATTTCTGATTGTATTATCGGATCGGATATTCGATAACATAACAAAATGAATATGGATTTAATAATTAAATATCCATTGGATTATCGATTCAGATCGAATCAGACAATTATTCTTATCGGATCAAATCGGATCGAATATAGAGAAATCCGATCCATATTCAATCCATTTACACCCCTAGTTGAGACAGGTTCAACTGTGGCATTTCACTGCATCATAAACTAAAAAATTTATGAAGTTGTAAGTTTAATATTTTTGTTCACAAAAAGAGAAATTTGACTACACTAAGTCCTTGTTTGATCAACATTTTTTTCAAAATACATTTTTTTCTTTTTTATTTTTCAACACACATTCTTCAATAAAATAATATTACATGTAAATTTAATTTTTTTTTTTTTTTTTTTTTTTTACTTTTTAACCACACATTTTTCGAAAAATTATTTTTTTCAAAAT